ATCACGTTATGATTAAAATGACAAAAATGAAGAACTGTCAGCCTGAAAGAGCTAAAAGCTTTCCTTCCATAAAATCACAAAGATATTTTGTTTTTTTGAATAACTGCTACCGCTTCGTTACTTTCCGCTCTCACTAATCCTAATTCAGGCATCTCACCAGTATTGGCAACTGACTAGGCACAGTATAGCCGGCACCGAAACATAATCCTGGCAGATCTCCGCATGTCGCGTAGACACTGGGTCGCATCTGTCCGGTTAACGCTTGAATGGCACGAACCGGTGTCAGGCTGACCAGTAGTTGGTAATGCAATAAAGGAATCTGATACACAACAAGAGCAGGATGTAGCGATTATTAAAATACAGGCTCCAGTATTCTCATCATTCGGCGCCTTTTGCCACACCGAACCGAAAACCGAAACACACGAAGCTATTTCCCATTCTTGATCCGCTCATATACCGCAGCATTCGAATAAATAGCTGCTTACTATCGGTTGTTCTGGTTGTCTTACTGTTCTTGATATTTCTCGCCGGTAGTGCGGCTCCGGCTCGCCTCACCATGTTCAAGTGGTTTCTCTTATTTCACGGTGGGCCACCTCAAAGTTCCTCCAGAGCTGTAGGATGCTGTCTGACAGTTCGTTCTATCTGTCACACACGTACTTTTTCGTTCCTTTCTCGTGAATCTCAACTAAATTACCCAAAAAAAGAAGCATTACGAACCGGAACAACTTATGAAGTGGTACCTGCTCCATACCGCAACCACGACGCTTTCGCATATATGCACAGCGCAACTCACCTCGTGATAACAAAGCATCCACCTTAATTATTCCCAGTTATTCATGTTTAATTTCATGACAATTAAGCACTGGAAAGTTAAACATTTGCAAGGGGTAAGACAGCGAGCTGATCAAGTTGTTTTGAATTCATAAATTTTTTGAAGTTACATTTACTAGAGCTAAGCTTCATTGTGCGTCAGGTTCAAACGAATTTCAAAAATCAACAATGCCATATACTGTACTGTCAATAATATATGTCAAAAATATCCCATAGCTGCACAAGCAATCACTGTGGGTATCCCATGTTAGTAATGTTACTGAGATGCTGAGATGCTCGCACGCATCGCACACAGCTATGCAAGAAAAATGTTGGTAGAATTCCTAATATTGCATTACTGTGAAAATACTAAAGTGAAATTAGAAACGAAATTTTACCTGATAAAAAGTTTTCATTTGCTCGGTACAGTAATACCGAATGTTGGATCCTGTTGGTTTCCACCAGCCTACCGAATTTTCGGTTATTCTATCAACATCAACTTTATCACCGTCAATCACGAAACAGTAATTCTCCAAAGCCAGCAGTGGAGGCTCCTGAAATCTATTTTTTGAATACATAACTTCTCCAAAGCTGCATCAAATTTCTTATAAATCAACAAGCACTCGCTAATTACTCTCAGATCCAAACGGCCTTTGGGAGCAATTCAGTAGTATCACGAATATGGGATACCTGCACCAGCTACCTAAGTGCTTTCGGCATTCTTACAAAATTGCCTTTTTAAATCCGATAAAATTTTTCTATAATTTTTATCAGTTAGGAGAGTACTGGATACCAGTTTAACAATATTCCATAGTAAACTGGCAGTCTAAGTGTCAC